TTCGCTGCATGACGAATCACTATTCGTCGTGATGGCGCAGAACGCAAGACGGAGCACATTGTCCTAACCTTTGACACTACCACTTTCCCTGTGACTTTGAAGACAGGCTACCTCCAGTGCCGAATCTGATCCTACGTGCCGAATCCTCTGTGATGCTCCGAGTGCCAACGGTTCGGCCATAGGCCGCGGAGCTGCCGGGGGGCCGACACATGCTCTAAGTGCCCACGCAAAGAACATGTTTCCGACATCTGTGACGATGAGCCAAAATGTGCCAACTGCGAAGGTAGCCCACCCATCGTACTCGCATTCTCGCCCTCTCTGGAAACAAGTGAAAAAAAATACTGACGCTGAAAGCCAAAGAAAACATCGTACCCTGAAGCAAAGAAACGCTTTTCATTCGTATTGAAGGGTGGATATGCCGAGGTCATGCACAGGGGACCTGTACGGCCAGTGACGGCATTGACGGGAACCCAGACGTCACCGGATGATCTGTGGGTCTCGTCCAAGTCCCCTCTTAAACCCACGGAACGGTGCTAGTGGCATTTGGTCCCAAGCCCAGGGTGGATACTGCCTCGCCAGCATCCACTCCAGAGCAGGGGATGGCACCCCCTGCATCTTTTCCTCAGCCTCAGGGTAGGGGCCTGCCAGCCCACGCCCCTGGTCCGAGGAGGCTTGGCGAGCCTTCAAGGCATTCGACCCCCAAGGGATGGCCGTCGGCGATGCCTGAAGAGCCCATGGACGACAGTGGGTTCAGGTCCGCCGAGGAGGCTCGCCTATCAAGATCGGAGTCCCCTCTCTCTCTGCCCCAGTGACTCCACTGGGAGGCAGACAGATATGTCAAAAAAAGAAAAAGTCTCCACGTGTAAAGATTGATTTTAAACCATAGTGACGTCTTCTTCTAATTCCGTTGCGTTTTTTAATTTATTATTAATATTAATATGTTGTTTAACTTCACGCTGCTACAAATAAACACCTGGGTGTCAATTCGCTTTTAAAGACTCCCTTTTTCCCTCCGTCCTGTACACACACTTCTTGGAACTGTCGTGTCCTTATTCGTAATATTGATGATGTAAACATGTTCCTTGATGAGCTTCGTCTCGTGGCACTTTGTTTACAGGCAACTCGTCTCAATGACAATCACACACATGTCTTACATCGTCACTCAGTTTTTAGTAACTTTCCTCATATCCTTCCGCTAGTGTTGCAGTAATAGCGCAGCGTGGGGTGGTGTGTGCTCCAGTTCCTCTTCAAACACCACCTGAGGCAGTGGCAGTTCGTGTGCTCTTTGATCGCCTCATCACCCTTGTATCGCTTTACCTTCCACCTAACAATCCACTGCATCTCCATAAACTCCAAGGTCTCGTAGATCAACTGCCCAAACCTTTTTTAATCTTAGGTGATTTTAATGCCCACCACTCCTTGTGGGGAAGCTCTCGTCAAGATTTCTGCCGTGGAGTTATTGAACGGCTTTTATTATCGTCCGGACTCTGCCTTTGGGTAAGAGAGAACCAGCTTTTTTTATATCTGCTCATAACACATTCATTTCAATAGATCTTTCCATATCATCACCATCTTTACTTCCATTGATATTTCCAAATCATCACCATTTTTACTTTTATGCTTTTCATGGAAGGTTTCAAAAAAGCCTCTCGGAAGCGATCACTTCCCCATAGTTTTAGGAAGTGTTATCCCTCTTCCCTCGATTTCGACCCTCCTTCCTAGGTGGAAGTTGGAGAAGGCCGACTGGGCTCTGTTTGGTTCACAAGCTGTGTTTTATACCTTTAAATTTACTAGTATGTCTGCAGAGGAGGCAGCAATTTCTGTCACTGAATATTTAATCAATGCCGCTGCATCATCTATCCCACAAACCTCTGGTATGCTTCCCAGGAGATGCAAACCCTGGTGGAGCGATGAGTGCACAGCCACTCGAAAGAAACATAATAGGGTTTGCGGAATTTTCCGCCTATATCCGACTGCTCTCAACCTTATTGAATTCAAGAAGAGCAGATCCAAGATTTGATGGAAGAGGAAACATGTAAAAAAGACATCGTGGGTTAATTTTTTTTTTTTTTATCTTTAAATACCTTTGTTCCGCTGAAAGAAGTGTGGGACCGCCTGCAGAAAGTTCGAGGAGATTAACAATCTTTTCGAGCTCGTCTTTTTTCCTCCCCCTCTGTATCGCTCAAGAATCAAGCAAATATTCTTGGTGAACATTTTCAGCTCTTTAGTAGTTCCTCTAATTTCAGAGCAAAGTTTAACACATTCCAGCCTACTGCTGAAAAGCAGTCAATCTCAATATTATAGGATTCGTCAGTGTTTCATAGAACAAATCATTCACTATACGTGAACTCAAAGTAGCACTTGCTACAAAAAAAGCAGGCTGCACCAGATCCAGACAAGATTCATTACGAAATGCTTAGGCACCTGTCCCCTGAAACACTTTGCCATTTGCTGGCGTTTTCTAACCAGTTATGGAAATAAGCTGCATACCCTCAGTTCTGCAAATGTGCTCATGTTATACCTCTATTGAAACATGGCAACGATCCCTCCATCACTTCAAGCTACCGCCTTATTGCGCTGACTAGTTGCCTGGGGAAGGCATGAAAGGCTCATAAATTGGTGTTTTCTTTATTTTTCGGAGGCTGAGAAGCTTTAATGCGAAAGCATTAACTGTCCCGTGGAGCGAACCGGCGTTATCAGCTTTGAAGACCCCGCGCCAAAAGGCACCTAAATTCTCCCTAAGTGAAGCCGATTTCTGATGGATAGGCTCACATTGGCTGGCGCGCGTCAACAAGAAACAAGGCTCTCATTGGCTCTCGTGTGGCGTAGTTCCAAAAACTGCCACCAGAGAAGCCCTCTCCATGGCGACGCAGTGCACAAAACGGCCCGGCCGCCGGTAAGAGGGAGCGCAGAGCCCGCTCGGGCAAATCCTGGAGAGGTTGTACGGCCGAGCTCATCGCGGCGAGGCCACTTCACGAGAGCGCGCGGTCAACCGTCGGCCGCTACCTCGGCAGTACCGAAACGTGACCGTCCACGCCACTACGACGCAGACGAAGTGAGGGAGCGGAAGAACGTTCATGCATGCACATGAAGTGCTTAGGTGTCCTCGGACTTTTGATGCGAAAGCATTAACTGTCCCATGGAGCTAGCCGACGTCATCAGCTTTGAAGCCGCGCCAAACGGCAGCTAAATTCCCTTCTCCCAATGGAGCGAAGTGAAAGCGCGATCTGAAGCCTCCCAGTTTTGAAGCTGCGCAAAACGGCAAATAAAAGAAGCCGAAATCTGATGGATAGGGCCGCCACGCGTCAGTTACAAGGAGCACCACCCCATGGCGCTACGTGCCCGCGCTGGGAAAAGGAAACGGTTGCCAATGTCAGCGGCGGCGCGGCCACTTCAAGACAGCGCGGTTTGATTATGACGTAATCAAAGTCAAATGGTACAGGCGACGACGTCAGAAAAACGCGTCACGTCTTAACATACAGGCCAGCGTGAAGAATCCATTGCATGCGTACGTCTATTCTGGCGGCAGTACACGAAGTCTTTCGACAACACCTCTTGGCTTCCAAACGCTTTTTTTTCACCCAGGGTATACGGAAACGTTACGTTTCCCAACAGGAATGTAACCAAGACCATCGACTTGGTTAGCATGACGGACGCGAAAGAAGTCATTTCCGCCTGTTAAAAGAAGCGTGCACGCAACACAGATAAGTGGTGGCAGTATAGACCTACTCCATCTGCGTCGCAGGGGCATGGATCGATCGTTGTGGTGTGCCATGTGGGCAGCCCGCTTGTGCAGGATCCAGATTTGCATAAAGTGAAACGTCTGCTCGTGCGCCGCGGCGTGACGTCGGAGCCACCATTACCTTCCTATAGCACGGCGCAATGAATGTCGCCACTTGTCAGAGACACAAAATCGTCTCCTTTAGAACTCCTGCAAAGTTTACAGCATGGATCGTTTAATCGATTTATTATATCTAAATGAATTGTCTCTTCGGTGGAGAAATTGATCATTATTGTGAGGAATCAACTCTTTTGTGATACGTTTTCAAGGCTCGCGTAGGTCTTATGCTGCTCGAATGCTCTCGAAGCTTCTTCAAACGGGAATTCATTTGCGAATGAGACACAAGACAAAGTGTAGCTTCCACAGTGCTGCGTTGTGGAAGTTACGCTCGCCCTGCCAACATAGCCTGAAATAGTTGACAACGACTGTAGCTCAGCCGCGTGCCTGACCTGAACAATGCTAGAACTCGCAAGGAGTTTCGGATCCGCGTACGAGTTGTAAAATGTGGTTCAAAGACTTCCAGAGCGTTTCATTCGTAACGTCTTCACACGTATCCCTCTTATATTTGTACGCTTGGGCAGGCCTTGAAACGTTGCAGAACGGAAAAGACAAAATTACCTAAAACATATTATTTCCCTGTTAATGATCAACTGTGAATCAATACAAATCAGTCCATTGAATTTATACCCTCGGAACCAGCAGACGCATTCACAAAAAGAAAAGAAAAAACTAAAAACGAATAGTTACTAAATACACCTTTTAATTTTTTCTTCTTTTTCTAAAACAATAGTTGGCTGAAGCAATTCCTGCTAGCCGATGTCACAAATTCAGCCAGCTTTTCTTACTTTAACGGTGCAATGGACCTTCTTTGAGAAGAGTTCTTCGCGTGCGCTGGTCTTCTTCACGGAGCGGCGAAAACTCGGAAGTACGAATAGCGTCCGGAAGGATAGTTGCGCTACCTCTTCCTGCCTCCTCCTCGACTCAGATGAATTACAGGGGGCAGGAGAGGTAGAGCAACTCCCCTTCCGGGCGCCAATCGCATTTCGAGATTTCGCCGCTTGGTGTCGTCGAGACAGTGGGACTGGATGCACCATTAGATATAGAGGTACTGTTCATGTTTACTACTCCTGCTACGGTCTCGAATAAGATCAGCAGCATGAATAAAGAAAGTAAACATTAAAATCGACTGCCGCTTTTCTGAAGGGTGTTTCCTGCTTACCTCAAGTTGACTCAGGAACTCTTCGTACTACATAGAAAGAAAAACAAGAAAACACTAAGTAAGTATTTAAGAGCACAAACATCCTACACGCTGCATACTCACGCTCGTGACGTCATGGTAAGAAAAAAGTGCATATCATCAGAGGCCCGAACTTTGTACGGAGCGCAAGTTCGTTTGCTTGCACAGGGGTTGCGATGATGTCAGAACGCCGAGCTCTGCTTGGCTGATTGAAAAAGAACTAGTGGGTCAACCTCAAGGCACCTAGCAGTGCCGTCTGCCCACTATATCCTTTTCATCAAAGCGAATCGGAGCTCGGAGTCGTTCTGACGTCGCCGCAACTCCTGCGCAAGAAGCAGACGACTTGCTATGCTCTCCGCATACTGGTGGCTGACAGTGCGCATGTCAAGACAGCCGGTAGGGCCGACACTCGGCCAACTTTCGAGAAAGATCCGTAGCTCAATGAAAAAACGGTTAATGTGCAGGCCAGCTGGTGCGACTTATACATGATGATTGAGACCTGAGACTGGTTTGAAAAACGGAACACTCGTGAAGGAGGAAGAAAAAGGGAAAGACAACGCCTGAAACCCCCCGGGTCCGAAAACACTCTGCTCGCCGTGGTTGGTGGTTTCCTCCTTTCCACTCTCCTCCCTATTGTGGGAGGAGCTTAACCTGCTATTCATTACCTCCAACGTTACTAAAACACTCAGTTGGGAAACTCCCATAGAGACAGCTTTGAAAAAGTAGCCCCAATCTTTCTCCGAGCACCTAGCTAATGACGAACACAACGCCACCATTACTCCCACAGCGGCCACTCGAGGAACTGCACGTGACTTCTATTTTGGCTCTCAGACCAGATACAGTGGGAGAGGTTACAGGGGCGCCACACCTGTCTCCCCGGCGGACGCGCCGCGATTGGCTATTGAAGTTAAAATGTACCTAGGTCGGGACGCGCTAGCTGAAAGGAACGCTGAGGCATGGTTGTATAAAAACAATATTAATTGTTCCGCAAAAACTTGCAAACTAAAGATTATAAAAACATCACGCTCCCTTCATTTGGTACAAAACTCCAATAAATTTCATACAAAAAGAGTCTTTTCCGTTTGTTTTTACGCAAAAACAGGCTTTCAAAAAGCTCAAGGTGACCACAGTACAGACAAACGATAAAGAGTGGCGCTGTTGTCGCATTTAGCTCGGTCTCGGTGGACGCCAGCGGCCCAGGTTTCGACGGCGAGTTTCCCAACTGAGTGTTTTAGTAACGTTGATTACCTCTAACAAACTATATAGCCTTTTCTTTGCAAACGCCACCAGTCGGCGCTTCAGTCTTTGACGTCCCAGTGAACTTCCGGTTCATAAGAATAAGGAACAAAGCCCACCTTAACACCGCTGCTTCAAATGTTAGTGAAACATTTATCCACCAATTCTCCGGGTGAACGCCGAAAGAACCAAGAAGCGCAAGATCTGTTCAAATTTTTCGAATATTATTGTAAACCAACTTGTCTCCTTCAAGACGTTAAGTCGTACAGCCGAAGGTTCTCGCTTAATCTCATACTTTGTTCGTGTAGCATTTATGCTTTTTTGCACTGGTGACATAAGCAAACTCGACAGGCTTGTTAAGAAGGAGCGACCGGAAGTCGCTTGGGACGCAAGCAGCAGATCATGTTTGGAAACAGTTAACGGGTCTATTAGCTGTGAGATGTTTTGGTGGCGCCCTCCTATGGTTCCCTCTCATGACGTCATTACCCTGTGAACAACAAGTTCGATGGTGTTTGTAATTAGCATGGTAGAATCTTGAGATCGTTGTACTCTGAAAGCAACACTGCCAACATCGTCAAAATGAAAGCTCCTGCAGCCCTCTTATTTCTGTCGGTGAAAAATCTTTTGCTGACGTCGTAGTCAGCATTCGGCCAGTCATGGCAGGCCGACCACAACGAGGCTTTTGACAGCGCACCTCGTCGATATGACCCGATCGCACGTCGGAGAAAAGCGTTTATGGTTACGCCGCTGCAACATCCTAAAGTCGGAGTCACACTGCTCATTCATAATACAAAAGAGTCTGCAAACACGAGTTCCCGCAATATTCGTGTTTCGAATGCAGCGCGCCAAGTGTTCTCCTTGAACTCATTACCATGTGGCATTCGAAGCACGGATCTCGCGTTTGAATTGCATACAGACAGAGAGTTGGCCACATTCGAATTTGTGAGGACGCCCTGGAACACTGCAGCTCACTTTCGACCATTGGCGCCTTTTCATTTGCCTCCTATATTTCCCAATGAATGACCAAACTCGCTATATATGGCTATGGTCGGCTAGACGGACAGGTATTACAATCGATCGCTTCATCCAGTGGGAGAAAATGGCAAGGCTGCTCAGCATGCAGCGTTAGCATCGATATGCTCGCAGCATCGCCACAACGGCACCCCGTCGCTCTCTGTGGACAATAAAGAAAATGTCTTCATCGTTTATCAAAATCGTGAAGTGTCGCAAAATGAATCTTTCCTCGAAATACAGCTTGCTTACGGCTGACCTTGATTTAAGTATTTTTCGTCGCCAAGTACAGCCCGCTTCAATGTTCGGAATCATTCGAGCTCTCTTGGGACACTAAATAACGTCGCCTTTCAGCCTGCCGATCTCGGAGATACATACCTATGTCTTGCAGCCTAGGACGGAACAGTGTTTTTGTGGCTGCTTACATAACTCTAACGAATTTGAGCGCGGCACATTGAGCTCGACGCTGCAGTGAAGCTGGGGGCTTGTGAAGCCCCTTGATGTACTTCTTATCGATGGCTCTCCGCCCCGCTAAAACCCACCAAAGCTACGCATGCTGAATCATTGAGTCACTTTCGTAAGCGCGATTGTCACACTTCCTTCCAGTCCACCATATAATGCGGCTCCGTTAATACAAGAGGGCGGGCACGTAGCCGCACAGCAGGATATTGTTTCGGAGGGGGGGGGGGGGGGGTGTACGCTCGACTTCGGCGTACCTTCAGCACTGTGGCATCCAGCACTCACCTACAACAGCGTATCATCCTGCCACGATCGGCCTCTGCGAACGGACGAACAAGACGCTCAAGCAGATGATCAATTTGACTGCAGCCACAGGCGACAAGTAGGCGGACGTCCTTGCCTACGTTGTCTTCTGTTATAATACCGGATTCCAGGACACCGTCCTTCAGTCACCTTTTTTTCCTTGTCTACGGCCGTGACCTTGCGCTCCCCCTTGATGTCGTTTATGGTCGTCAGGAGCTCCCTGAACTACGCTATGCATCGGACTATTCAGTCGTTGTCCACGAGAGACTGAACCAAGCTCGGAAACTGGCCGCCAAGCACATCAAGCTCGCTTAACAAAAACAAAAGAGCTACTCCGACAGGGGACGCAAAGACGTCACCTTCGAGAAGGGCCAGCTCGTGTTCACCACCCGTGGGGCTCAAGGCAACACGACGGTTCACTGACCCCCACCGAATTGTGAGCCGGCTCTCTCCTGTGAACTGGAGATTGAACTCATGGACGGTAATGGCCGCGAGGTAGTGCGCGTGGAGAACCTGAAGCCGTATTTTGCACCCATCGCTGAATTTGCACAGCCTCTCCCCGATGACAGAACTTTTGAAATTTATAGTGTGCGCACTTGTTTATAGGGTGCCTTCTCATTTAGCATCTTGTATTTCCATATTTATTCACTCGCGTGCATATCTGAGAGCGCGGCATTTGTTTAATGTCGTTTTGTCTTTGTCTCATGAAAGCGCACTGTCGGGTCGATAGTTACTAAAACCCGGCATGTGACAAGCCGCAAAAGACGACTCGTGCAAGCTCCGGTGCCGCGCGTGCGAGCGCGAGGAAAAGAGATAAAAATTAAAGGAAAGAGAAGTTCTGCATGAAATCTCGGAGGTTGACGTGTCTTTCCTAAGCTGGGAGCCCATTTGTCTTGACGACTACAACAAATCGTTGCACTAATGAAGACAAAATTCTGCTGGCGAATTTCCATCCTTATATTTCTAGTTCATATAATATCTTCGTGATAACGATATAGTTTGTGTAGAGCGAACCGAAGCTCCGATATTGCCCAAGCAACAAGCTCGTAACTACCTTTAGTTTAATTAAATATGTAAAGACAAAACGCTGCGCGCTCCGCTCAATTCAAGATGGCCGCCGTGGAGCCTCGACGACTCACATTAAATTGGCAGAACTATAGTGACCGACAATTGAAGAAACACAGGGTCCCAAGGTCATTATCATCACTCCCCGAAGCCCATCGGGATTACGGCGTTGGCCGATAAGTACGCCGACACGAATTAAGGAGCAAGACGCAGGAGCGTATGCGCTATTCGTTTCTAAAAAAGAACAGAAGGTCTCTTGTGTTATTCCTAAGCCGATCCCTGTGATAGCGAACCTCCGAAGACAGCGCGCAGGTTGTGACGCAGTTTTGACGCCGTTAATCTCACGGCATGGCGCACGCCCGCTCTTCATCGCTGCCCACCGTGCCGCTGCCCGAGCGAGAGTGTCCTCCTCTCCCGCTGGGTTCGCGCCGCGCGTGCGCGCCTCCGCCGATTTTGGCACAAATAACGCCATCTCGTGGTCCAGTGGCGAACAGTGGGTTTTGGTAACTTTTGTGTCGCCGACGTGTTTTCGCTCAAGGACTGAACGATGAGACATATAAGGTTTTCGCCTTTGTAATCAGCTATTATACCGACTTTGTGACTGGCAGATAGACTACTACTGTACAAGACCCTCGTTAGATCCGAGCTTGAGTGTGCGAGTTCGGTGTGGGACCCAGGCCATGAATTTCTAATTAATCAAATTGAATCCGTACAAAATCGTGGCGCACGTTTCATTTTGTCTAATTTCTCATGTTTTTCCAGTGTATCATCCCTGAAACTAACTTTGCATCTTCCGAATTTTTCATTGCGTAGAAAATTATCTCGTTTGTCCTTATTTCACAAAATTTATCATCACAACCAGCACCTAAGTGAAGAGCTTTTTTCTGAACCATCGTATGTATCCCATGGAAATGATCATCACCCTAAAGTCAACGTTCCTTTCAGTCGCACGCAGCTCTTTTTTGATTCTTTTATCCCAAAAGCTACCAATGACTGGAACCACCTGCCCACCTCCATCGCCACAATCACAAACGCTCCTGCATTCAAGTCTGCCATTGAAAACTAGTATGTTAACTAATATATGTTGAATTCTATTTTTTGTACTTTTGTTTTCCCCCCACTCCCTTCTGTAATGCCGTGTGGCTTTGAAGGTATTGAAATAAATAAATAAATAGGTTCTGGCTCTGTTCTCACCATGGCCGATCCGGACTGCCTGTTTGTCTTGCACATTGAAGGTATTGAAATAAATAAATAAATAGGTTCTGGCTCTGTTCTCACCATGGCTGATCCGGACTGCCTGTTTGTCTTGCACATGATATCCACCAGTTCACGAAGCTTGAGGCCCGGTATCCTGTTGAGGATCTCGTCTACTAATACCTTGACCTGAGGAGAGAAAGGAGGCCGCCAAAGCACGAGGGTCATTAAAGGTTAACTGGGGACTTCTATTCCTAAAGGGGAAACGAAAAATCCGACAATTATAAAACTATGTCAACTTTGGTAGCTGTCTGTTTGGCGGCCGAGTTTGTTAACGCAGCGCAGCTTGTAGCGCGGGGAGCGAAAGCTCGCGCTGCAGAACCCAGGGATCCTGGGCTCAATCCCCACCCCTGCACGTTTCTATCTGGATGAGCATCGAACCGGCGTACGGTCGGCCATCAGTACTGCGTGATGCACTTTAAAGATATTGGGCTAGAGCTAGCAGTCGTACTACACTGGCTAAATTTCTCATCTACGTCGTAAAGTTTACGACGAGGGACGATGGACAATGGTTTACGACGTAAACCATTGCCGCCATATTTTAAAGGCAGAACTGACCCTTCGCTATCTGAACAAGAGCGTTTAGACGGGTATGTCATTCTTGAAATGGAATGCCCATAGTCTACTTAGCATGTACACCAAGTTTCGTGATTTTTAGAGCTCTAGTAATTTTTCAATATCCAATTTACGAATGTTGATCATAAAGGCTACAACCATTGCATTCATCCATCCAACCCATGATACCTATAAACCACGTAATCATCACTAGGAGTTGAACGCTCTCTCACTTTAGGCGCCCTACCCTCGCCTAGTGCTACCATAGCACAGCATCAGGCAAAAATGAATCGGACTTTATGTCTTCCCGAAAGAAATCAGCCTCCGAAAAGAGTGGCTAAAAGGTAAACAGAGCCTGACGAAGCAGCAGGAAAAAAAAAAAAAAAAAAAAAAAAAACGTTTTTCGAAATGTTTTACGGTTTGGTTCATAATTTATATACATCCCATTAAACATTAGCTCAAGAGTGTAAGATTACAGGGCACGAGATAGGGGGGGGGGGGGGGGGGTGCCGAAGTGTTCCCCAACGATGGAATCCCCCTGATCACTCGCTCCGTAGTGGTCAATCTCAATCGGCAGCTCCGCGGTGCCCTGTGATGGCCGTTTTTAATACTTCTTTCTAGATGTATTTTTGCGGTTATAACTGCTATTGCGGCGACATGTTTCAAACACAAGCGTGCTTTAAATGATTAGGACAATCACACATAAAAGAAGTAGTGATCGATATGCATCTCTTGAAATGTAACAAACTTCTTCCAAAGCAGTCTTTATTTTTTATTTTTTCAAACGAAACGCAGTGATGTGTTCGTTGCACCATTCGCGTCAAACTGCGGAAACTTGCTTATCCTGCTACACCCTGCTACATTTCGCCAATATATCATGAATTTGCTCCAAAATTGCCTTTTAGCTTCTCCAAAAGGTGTTCCAAAATGACTCATACTAATCACATCACTGAAAACGTGAAAACACGGCGTAATCCAATTTAGAAGTCGAATACTTTCCGCTAAAAACAGGAAAAAAAAGGAAAAAAAAAAAACACCTCACCCAACTTTTGATAGTCTATTATTCTACAACCTGATTCCGGCTGGCGTTACTTTTTCGTTTTCATCACACCAATCGAGACCGCAGATAAATGCTTTCGCCGTCGGGCGATGGTTAGCGTACAAAGCTTGCGCGAACAAAATAAAATTGAATGGGGATTGTACACCGAAAATAATTTTCACTGAACGTTTTGAGGTGCCTGGCATGGTGCTGCGTTTTGCAAATGCGAGTTGTAACGGCGCGCCAAGCATAATCTTTTTTATATATTTCATTTTATTTTATTTGTGTGCAGGCTTCTCCCCGCAGTTTATCTGTGCCCTGTCATACAGGCTGTCAGCCAAAATAAAACGACTTCAAGTATATTTAGCTCTTCTTACTTCATTGTCGATTAAACCTTATGCACAAGCCTGAGCACTACCAAGCTCATTTTCCAAACAGACACACTCGATGTTGTTCCGCGGTGCTACAACGAGCCGATGGTCCCTGGAAATTTCGTGTTCTTTGTCATTAAACTAGACGTTCACTTGTTTCCAAGTTCATTGAGACGTCTGAGGAGCCGGAGTGTTGGAGTGGTGGCGTCGTTGTCTTTCCCGTGGCCGTAGAGGGACCACCGCGTGAAGTACTCGAACGCGGCAGCAGACGGCGAAGCGCTTCTAAAGCGGTAAGTATACAAGTAGCATGGCGTCGGCACCACTACGGGAATTTGCCCGCCTGCGCAGTGCGCTTGATGAGATCGGTTGATTACGTCACTGACCCACCAAACATGGCGTCCTTCCCGAAGGGGGTGGCTCGAGGTTTACTAATCTTGCCATTTTCAAAACAAATTTAGCAAAAAATGTAGAAAAATATGCAATATGTCGCAGCAGTATTGTTATTTCACAACTTAGTTTTGGCCTTTCCTAACGTTTTTATTTCGATGCTTCTATTTTTTCTAGAAGAAAATGGGGTGTACTCACCTCTTCGGGTAGTTTCTTTATCGCGCAGGCAAACATGATTTCCAAATGAGCTCCGGGATAGGCTGAAGACGAACCGAGAGAAAAAGGTGTTGAAATGCACTTAGAAAAAAAAGTTATAAAAATTATTTAACGGCAGTAGTTACAACCCCACCGTTACTACATTTCTACTAGGTGTTCACCATGGGCGCTGACAGCTTAACAAAAGGTCAATTTCGAGCATATTATTAAAGCGCCGTTGTCAATGAGAATATATACAGTATCAGCCGACGGGTATACCGAAGAATGAAAAAGACGAAACAAGGCCGCGTGTTCATAATAGGCCCATAGATCAACTCAACTCTCTGACGTCACGTCGCTGCGGTGGCGCTGCTGTCGGCACTGCGCGTGCGCAGACGCTTCTCTTCTCCCGGATCTGGTTTCTACGCGCGCGTGCAGTTTGCCCACACTGGGCAAACGCGGGCCTGTTTGTAAACAGTGTGTTTGTGTTTATGTACAAATGCAGTGTGCCTATACTTTCCCTTCGAAGAACTTGGGATAGCCTATCGCTGCCACCTACGGAGAGAGCTCGAGGGAATGACGCAGCAGAAAGTATGCTTACACCAAAATGCAGTCTGCGCTGTGACACTGCATGGCGTAAACACGTAAAACGGTAGTAGAACGTTGTGCTCAGTGTCACTGTGCAAACGTTTTTTTCTTTATTTTTTTTCTCCTTTAGGTATAAACATATTTCCAGCCCCGTCATTTGCCGAGCTCTCTCCGTAACGTGCTGTGATTGGTTCTTCGAAGTGCTTCTTGGGAAAGTAGAGGCTCCAGATTTCTTACGTTGTGACTTGTGTTCACGCTTCTTGCTTTGGGATTTGTCGGTGTTCTTATCGGCTAATATCGGAATCACGCTGGCTGCGTAGCGAAATTAAGATGCTCGAGGCCCGCTCCCCCTCCCCTGCATTTTGTAAGCTGTCCATAATTTGTTGCATAAAACTCGCGTCTCTATGAATGGGCCTCTCTCTACAAGGGGTGCCGGCGTCGTGTTGCGCTGTGTCTCCAGTAGGTTGCAGTATAATTTTCCTGCCTTTCTGGGGCGTCCTAGAGTCACTGAATGTCCCCAGAGTACTGGATCTCATTCAGTCCGCTTACCGGAAGTCAGTCCCGCAGAATCCAGTTCAGATTGACTGGTTTAGCCCGTGGCGGAAGTTATCAGTCTGCCCTTTTGTGAATCGGCCCAAAAAAACAAAAACGGATATAGAATGTTTTCGCGTTACCGCGGCTACGGCTGGTACGCACGGGTGGGAGCTCTGAGCATTGATGAGTGAAGACCGAACAAAAAAACGTGTTAACTTTTTTTATTTTATCAAGTAGCCGTTAATGTGGTTCTGCAAAGAAGATTGCCAGCTCTTTTGCTGGTTTCAATGGCGCTGGTGCTGCCTTTCAAACTCTATGCCTCAGCCGCTAAGTCTAACACTCGACTTCGATGTGTTTCGAGGCGAGGGAGAGACGTAGTGTCGCCACAGGCCAGGGATTCAAGTGCTCACATAAGAACGAACGCTACACGTACTATACACGCTTTGCTTCGCCCCCACATGGCAGCGCCATATTGGAGATCGCGACGGCTGCGCCACGACTCTGCTCTAAAACGAAGCTTGGGAGTTTTGATGCTCTGGGAACATTCGGTGACACCAGTGTTGTACGGAACGGCGTTCCTGGAACGCTTTCCTTCTAGGATGAACGAAGGAACGGCGCCGTTGCATTTTTCATCTGTGGATCTGGAACGGGAACTCTTTACAATTTTACTGGAACGGAAAAAGAAACGGCATTCCTTTTTTTTCGTCCAGTCGGGTAATTTTTAATTAATTTATAAGAGAGAAATTCTAAAAAGTACAAAAAAAATATCATTACATCGACTAGGGGCACGTTAACTTTTTGTTACTTATCCCAGGGTTTATTTTGTGTGGTTCTCGCTTCGTAATAGTTGGGTACTGGAGAGCAAATGGACATTGATACTTTCTTTTTAGCGCCCGAGACTGCGGTACTAAAAACCAAAACTTTTAGTCGAAGGAAAATACACAGAAATAGGGACGTCTCAAACTCAGCTAGTTTCTCTGCTTCCACGAATCCTCATACACGCAGAAAGCTAGGGCCGACTACAACCATCACTGAACTTTCACAAAGAGACCTACAGTTACAACAGGACAGGCTACCAGACATCGAACGGATCCTTGTATCGCGAACATTGATCACTTTAAAGGTACACAAAAATTAACCTTTATTCTCTTTCTCCCTGTCCCCCACCTTCAAAATGAACAACGAATCCAACTTTCACGAAGAACTTGTAGTTTTCAAGACTGGCCTTGCAAATGTAAAACAATGAAAGTGTCTCGCCGTAACACTACGCCTTTTATCTATCATCTTGATAACTTTTCTTTAGAATGTGTGACTTCATATAAATACCTCGGTGTGCATATTACTTCTAACCTCATGGATGAAGAAAGAATAAAACAATTAAAACAGGGACAACACAACCACATGTGGTTGTGTTGTCCCTGTTTTAATTGTTTTATTCTTTCTTCATCCATGACTTAAACCAACACGCTCTTCTCTCAAGCATACTTCTAACCTCTCCTGGCATATTCATATTAACCACATCATTGCTAATACCAATTCTATGTTAGGCTACCTAAAACGTAACTTTTCTCTAGCACCAGTTTCTCTCAAACTAATATTATTCAAATCTTTGGTTCGCTCAAAACTAGAGTATGCAGCTTCAATCTGGGATCCTGGTCAGACAACGCTCACTTCTCATCTCGAGTCAGTTCAGAACCGCGGCGCTCGTTTCATACTTAACAATTATCACCGTACAGCTAGTGTATCATCCATGAAATCTCTTCTCTCCTTGCCACTGCTTTCTTTGCGCCGTAAGTGTTCTCGTCTATGTCTTTTCTATAAAATAAATAATTCTAACCCCATTCTTATAGAAAAGCTCTTCCTCGTCCCACCTTACGTTTCTCCACGCATTGATCATCAGTACAAAGTCGGCATTCCTCATTCTCGAACCTCAGCCTATCACGATTCTTTCATTCCTAGGACATCATCAGAGTGGAACCACCTTCCGGCGTCATTAATATTATTACCCTCGTTAGATGTGTTTAAAAGTGCTGTTACTAATTATTTTTGCGAAAGTGACCCGTGACCTATTCCATGTCTTCTATTACTGTTTGTTTTTTTGTTTTTTTTCACTCACTCCCCTCTGTAACGCCCCCAGGGCCTTGAGGGTATGTAAATAAATAAAATAAATAAATAAACCCTACCCTCTTCTTCACTTGCTCGTCTCGCTGACAGAAACATCGAGAAGAAAGTGTTGTTAAGTTCGAACAAGAGACTGATAGATTGAAACGAATGAGGTTGTTGTAAAACACCCGTGCAATATGGGGTAACAGTACATATAGCTCGTCTGAATCGCTCACCACAAAGATAAATATGGCTGGAAGATGACATTTTTAAAGGTGAATATATCAACAAATGAAACCTTGCTCCCGCTTGTTTTCTTCTCCTGGTGTCCTTCCACCACGGCAATAAAATTCGCATGTTACCATTTGATAGGATAGATAAAAAACAACAAAAACAAATTTGTTTGATCTAACTGAATATGGTAATCATCAAAATACAAATGTGACGTATATGTAACGATACATTCCATTTTTTAAACTGTGACGGGAACGCGTTCCTTTTAGAGCGCAGCCTTTAGGCGCCCGTTTCCGGCTTGAGCGGCGTTGCCGTCGCCGTCGGTGTAACCGCACGTTGCATTATGGGACGTTTCTCATAATGAAGTCACACGTGACATCACGTCTGACGTCACGAGGGTCACGAGTGACGTCACGAAGGTCACTCGTGAAGGTCACGACCTTCACATGACCTTCCCTCGTGAAGGTCTCGACCACTGATCTCTATGACAATTGCTGGATCGCGTTTGCCCGCTCCGCGAATGCGGCCACTGGCGGCCGTCTTTTTGGTACAGTTATATTATTTCTAGCCAAGGTGTACAGCTGCTGCAGCCACTATCATCCATCCATGGCAGACAGCGTTGTGGCAGTTGTGGTGGCAGGCTGCCATCAAAATAGCGTGGCTTATATTTCATGCTTGATTGAAATTGTTTGACGAAAAATATTTTTGAAACCCGGCGTGAACGGTAGCCCGATCTTTGAGGACCCCGCGAAATTTTCACGAAATTGCAGCTCCGGGGAAAAGCAGCGCAGCACGCTTCGAAAGTCGCATCAAAACAAGCACCGAAAGCAGACGCCGATACGGAGTCTGCTTTCGATGCGAGCTGCGCTGCTTTCCCCCGGTGCTGCGCTTTCGTAGAACTTTCGCCGGGTCCTCAAAGATGAGGCTACCGTTCACGCCGGGTTTCAATAATCTGCTTCGTCGAACAACTTCAATCAAGCACGAAATATCACACACGGGACAGTGTACTAGATCCACGGCTATTTTATGGCAGCCTGCCGCCATTGCGCTGTCCGCCATATTACCTGTGATGGCTAGAGATAATATAACTCTACCAAAAAGATGGCCGACCGTGGCCGCACTCCCGTCCATAGGCGGAGCTGGTCAAACGCGATCCAGCAAATAGGCTAGAGATAAGTGGTCTCGACCTTCACGAGGTCTTCACGAAGAAGGAAGGAGAGGGAGGAGAAGGGAAGGAGAATTGGAGAAGGAGAGGAAGAGGGAGGAGGAGGGGAGGGGGCGAGGGGGAGGAGAGGGTACGGAGGAGGAGGAGGGAATGCCCTCCTCTCCGTTCCCTCCTCTCCTCCTCCTCAAAAGCTGCGCTCTAATTCGGTATTGCAGGGAATTTTAAACGTCTTTCCTTTTTTTTAATCAACCAGCGCACACGAATGGTCGCCGCCCGTCCTGGAAAGTAAGATGCAAATAGCATAATACGTCTTTTGGAGCGGGATGTATTAAAAAATGTGAGGACCGTCATTTTTGACAACGGATCTGCCTCTATAATCAAACGCCTTCGGGACTGGGCTTTACAACGCGAAATTACCTTGCAACGGTCATCCCCATACCA